TTTAGCGTTACGACGCGCCTAAACTGACATTTCGAGTTAATATAAAATGGATCTTCTTTCACAATTCCACATCTGTTTTTCAATTGAAAATTGAGTCTTTTGATGAGTTTTGTAGACAGCGTTCTCTATCTATCATGGTGCCACGTCAAACTTTGCGAGTTTATCCTATGTGGTTTCTTGCATAAAATATGACGCATCGCAAATTGAAAATTATGAGTTTTTGAAAATTTTAATGACGGCTTTTTTTTTTTCATTTTACAGTAAAGAGCTTTGCCTAAAAAGAGCCAAAATTCGCCTGTTTTGGAGCCCTTGTAATCGGGGTCCGTTTGAGATTATCTTTCATCTTTAGGATAACTATTTACATATTTTAAAATTTCAAATTGAGTTTACGAATCGCTTTCGAAATGGGGGGGGGGGGGGGGGGGGTAAAGTCCCCAATTTTCACTCATTTATGCAGGTATTTTCATGTCGGATTCCGACCATAGCATGTTCACTGATTCAGATATCGGAGCAATGGTTGCGGTGATTATTTCAGAAATCTATTACTTATAGTTTCAGATTGATCACAAAATAAGTAAAAATGATTGAAAGAACCAGAAAAACTTTCCGATAAGAAAATTGTGGAAGTAAGCTTGGAACACAAGTTATGAAAACTTCAAACAAAAGCTGTGTTGAGATGTGATCCCTACGCAGTAGCTGGCGTCACAATTCGAATAACTCTGATTATTGCAGTGAGGGATGTTGAATTTTATCACCCGTGTAAGTAAAACCAATACGAAACATCGGAAAATTTTATCATCATTTTTATTGAATCCCTGGGAAAATTCCTTCGTCACTTTTACCGATGTCAGAAACACGGTCGTGAAATCGTAAAGTTAAAACCCTTCTCCAAGGTTGCCATAACTTTGACTTGCCTCCGTGTGGAGTCCCTGTTTTGGGCGAAGCTACTGCTGGAAGCAATCTAAGAAAACGGTTCATAACAGGAAAGAAGATAAGTGCTGGGTCTGGGCCCTGCCCTTCTGAAGGCCAATCAAAGCCAGACAAACCCAAATATCAGATTGAGCGTTACAATGAACTCCAAAGAATTTCAGTGCCAGGCTAATGAAAAGATCGTTCGACACTGTTCAGCTTAGGCTGTTACATCGGAGGTACATTGCTAAATTTCATCATAGAGACTGATACCGGTTCGGCTCTCATTTAGGCTCGTCAGTTAGTCACAAACAACTGGTTACTCCTGTTAAATCCTATAGGCAACATTAAAACGTCATAGATGCGATGCGAGAATGAAGTGCGATCCCCGCGCCATCTACCATTACTGTTTAATAATTTTCTAAGACAGTAAACGATACCTAATAAAATTTAATGTGATGCAAATTATACACTAAAACAGCCCAAATTATTTAACCAAAGAACAGAAACAAACACAAGACCTGGGACGTTTTGGGATGGTCTTAAACCCCTTCACGAATAGGAAACAAAGAACCTTTTGCCATCTCGAATGGGGGTCCAAGGATTTTGGTTTTTATAATTTTTTTATATGTTCTTGTTTCCTATTCGGGGGGGGGGGGGTTAAACGGCCCCAAAACGAGCCAGGTTTTGTGTTTGTTGTTTTTAGCCTTGGCTGTCCATATTCTTGTGTTTTTTAGTGTAACGTGATGCGCATCGCAACATTTTTGACGAGCGTGATCATATTGGGAAGAAAGTTGCCGGGAATGTTGCAACACCGAGAAATTTTAATGACCGTAAACGGATATTTTTCAACCTTTTCTGTATACTTAAGATTGACTTGGCCAGGATGAAAAGGAACTAAAATAGAGAGAAACAAGAAAAAAAGAGGGGAAGACATCACATACTAAATTGGGCATCTCAGTTTCGGAGAAGAGCATCTGTGGACTGGATCTGCTTCATCCTCACAAGACGAAAGCAAGCACGCTCCATAAAGTAACAGAGAATGAAGTCATGAAGTCGAGTTACTAGAGCCGTGGCTCGTAAAAGTTAATGGGCTCCGTTACGGAAAGAGTGGGGTCGAATATCGCACGTCGAGTCGTCGAATCACCTCCCAGCCGGGGTCCAAGTTCCTTTACTGCACCGACGGACTAAAAGTACCGCTTTCAAATCTTAGTAAATCTCTCAAGTTTCCAAAGCTTCATGCAAAACTGCCTATTCATAATGGCCCTCATGAAACACGGTCTCGCCCTTAACCCTGCAAGAAAAAACCACTCGGATTTGCTGACCCAATCGTGGTTTAGAACTCAGTCCACTTAAACTGGATCTTTCTTCTTTCCTCTCTTACGAGTACACCGGAAAAAGTCCCGTGGGTCCGGAGTCCAGACTCTTAAAAATATTTAAAATAATCGATACTCTTGATTCAATTGGATTTTCGCTTAAATCGAGAGCCAGCCTCCTAATTTAAGCGGATTTGTTTTTGATTCAAGCAAAAATCCGATTGAATCAAGAGTATTTTTTCTTATTAAATTGTTGAAGAGTCTAGACTCAGGATCCAAGAGACTTTCTTTCCAGTGAACGTTTTTTTACAACATTTTCCGATCAAAATGTTTGCATTCAATTAAAAATAATAATAATGAATACAATGGACCACTAGACGTACGAAGTTAAGCATTCTGATATATGTTTCTTCACCAAAATTTTACGGAGAACACGATTTGCGCAACGAAAATTACTGAAAGCAACTCTTAACAAATATTTTAAATGTTTCTTGACGCGTGAATCCAAACCTCCCGCTCATGAAAACTCAACGGATGCGGGAGTCAAATCGCACACTAAAAATTACCATGGCACTCTGCAATATGAAAACCTGGGAACCTCAATCTTGAAGCTTAGGCTCAGCTGCAACAAGTTGCTCATAGTTTAAACAACGCAGGGTGGGAAATAAACAATGCTGCATTGACAAGCCTGCCAAAACCGTCGTAGTGCGCGATTGGACTCACGTTGAGTATTGAGTTTCGTGTGATTGGGAAATTCCAATTCCCGTAACCAATGTAAAAAAAAAACAAAAACGTCAATACCTTAGATAGGAAATGATTTTGGTCATTTCAATGCAAGAATCGTGTTCTACGTGAAATTATGGTTAGGAAACATGTGTCAGAATCCTTAAATTCGCACCTTGTCTAGTGGTCCATTCACTCACAACCTTCAATTGAGGTAAAATATTTTAACCCATCCGAAAACTTGACGAAAGCAGTTTTTACGTGCGAGAAGGAGATGTTCTTTCCTCGCAACACCTAACGGATTGCTGACGAAGGTAATGTCCGTCATCGGATGGGAGATGCGAGATGGGCCGGGGAACGTTGGGAGGGGTAGTGAGAAAAAATGAAGAAAAATGATCCGGAGCTGTGCTGTAAAAGGAGCAGAGTTAACTTTCCCTCGCGCAATCTGCCGTTGAGCACCTAGCAAATGAGCGTTAAAGGGTGGAGGATGGGAGCAAGGGGCTCTCCGCGAGCTGTGCTTCCAACTATGATAATGTGCGGCATGGTATTCAAAAGGATCAAAAAAGTTTGTGATCTTCATTGATCCTCGAGTTAGCTTGTTTTTTTTTTTTTTTTTTTTTTTTTTTTTTTTAAATTAAAAATTTGTTTTTCTTCTGCCGGGAGTCTCTTAAAATTGTAAACCTGGTCGGTTTTCTAATTAAAACCAATCAAGAGAACCAGGAAAATACTTTCATCATGTGCGTGCCTGAGTGATGTTTTTTTCCACTACCGTCAATAGTAAGTAGAGGATTTCGCAGTATCAAATTCAATTCGTCTCAGTGTGCAAACAAGTTAGAGACCTGAAGATTCTCGAACTGTGACGTGAATACGAGGATACATCCACAAATTGAATCCTTTCTTTTACTCCGTGGGATTTCTGTCTCGCCGTCTGTGCGCTCAAAGCACCACTCTCGTCACATCTAACATCAGTAGGCCGACTACAACTGCTAAACAGCTCCCCTGGGGATTCGACCCATTTCAGATCTTAAGGGAACAGACCCTCTCCCCTCTGTGAAATCTCCACGGAAAAGCTTGGGCCTCGAAAGTATTAGGAGGCACTCCGTAGTTTAAAGCTTACTGCTCTTCAAGAATTCTTTCGCTATGCAGAAAAGAAATATCAAGTCTTATTCGATCTATATTCCAGTAAAGTTCAATATTTTAGTTGTGAAGTTAATCCATGCTCATGTGCGGTTGAATTGTACATCATAAATCAAGGTTAAAGCTGTGAGTTAAATCGTGAAGAAATCTATAAAAGTGTTTTTAAATCGCAGTGTGAGAATTTTTTTCAGGGTTCACTCCTTACTCACAGAAATGGTGTTCTTTACTCGGACTGTTTAATAAATAGTCGGCAGGTTTCCATGGGAACCTTTTTGTAACTCAAAATTCGTTGGAAATGTCAAATGCGCAATAAAAGTTTTTTCATTAATTTTTTTTTTAAATGAAACTACTCAAAGCGCTAGTTTAGCTTTGAAAGTGTATTTAATCGAAAGGGAAGTGCGCGGCATCCAAAGCTGGGTCTCTTCGTGTTTTGTTTGTGTTTAGAACGCGGAAAAAAGTGTGTTACAGTTGCAACAACACTCCTGGCTGATTTTGAAGCTATAGGCAGAAGTCCGTGAGCTTTCAAAACACGCAAATGCACTGGAAAAAAAAAACACATTGGATCTAGAGTTCAGACTCTGGAAAACATCGACAAGAAAAAATACTCTTGATTCAATCGGATTTTTGCTTAAATCAAGAACCAAGCCTCTTAATTTAAGCGGAGTTCCTTTTGATTTAAGTTTAAATCTGATTGAATCAAGAGTCCTTTTTCTTGTCAATGTTTTCAAGAGTCTGGAATCTAGATCCAATGCGTTTTTTTCTTATTGTGCGAACGATTTTTTTATGTATATTTAAACGCGTCGATATTGACTCGTGGTTTATTTGATATCTTATGTCAACACATGAACTTCCCCGAAATTATATTGTCATTGATGAGATCATTAAAAAAACCGTTTTGTTTTTTTCTGATTTCAGCAATACTTAACTCTCTGTGTAAGGAGTTTCTATCCGTGAACGTGTCTGCCATTCTGTACCTTATGAACTACGAAAAATACGGTCGAAGCACGGCCTCTGCTCAATATTTTCTACAACTAGCAAACTACCTCGGAATCCCGGTTATCGCGTGGAATGCCGATAACTCGGGTCTTGAACGGGTGAGTTTTCTTTCCTCCATTTTTTGTCTCTATTCGTTAATCTTTATTTTCTTTTTATTACGGACTTCCATTTTCCGATTTTAAGTATCTAATTACAATTATTTCTCCTTCATTTATCTCTTCCTTTTATTTTATTTGATTCCTGTTCATTTCTTACATTCTCTATATTTTTTATTTCTGTTATTTTTTTTTTTTTTGCTATGAATATTTCAGTTTTAATGAGGGGGCGCATTCGGGGAGCGCGCAGCATAATTTCTGAATGAACGCCCCCCTAAAAATATCCCTCTTAGAAAGAAATTCTATCCAAATAGTTCAAATAATTCAGTCTTTTGTATCAAAGTAATTCAACAGAAAACATTATAATGAGATAAAATGTAACACTGGAAAAAACCACATTGGATCGAGAGTCCAGACTCTTAAAAACATCGACAAGAAAAAATACTCTTGATTCAATCAGATTTAAGCTTAAATCAAGAACCAAGCCTCTTAATTTGAGCGGATTTCCTTTTGATTTAAGCTTAAATCTGATTGAATCAATTAAGAATCCCTTTTCTTGTCAATGTTTTCAAGAGTCTAGACTCTAGATCCAATGAGATTTTTTTTTTTCCAGTGAATGTTTTAAATGACTTTCGGTCGATTCTCTGCGTTGATTTCTTGTGTTTATTATATTTCGCCTCAATTTTCATTAGTAATGATTTTAAAGTCATGTCAAAGCTGTCACACGATCTTCACCATTATTGCCCTTTCTCCCCTCCGGAAAAAAATGAAAAAATAGAAGGAAATACCACCGTATGAATCGGACAGACTTTTTGGCCGGAAAAACGAAACGTCCAACAGACTGTTTTAAAATGCTTCTTTAAAGAATTTAATAGAAATAGAGCTCATGTGGAGTACCTGGAGGCGATAATTATCTCTGTGAATAGTTTCCTACTAGCACGAGGCAGGGAATTTAAGTGGGTGATTTACAGAGAAAATGTGGCAAAGCGCCTACACCGCTGACTTTGGGCTGAGCCCCGAGGGAGGCGAGGTTTCGACCAATAGACCGAGTCTGGAAAACCGCTGATGGAGCTTTTCGCGGAAAGTCTCTCGATTAGCATTAATTGATACTCAACACTTGGACAGACTTCACTGGTGACCGAAACCCTTGCGACTATTTGATTGGATTAAACATCGCCTTCATTGGCCATCGGACTCGGGTTTAAATGAAATTTTGATCATTGACTCGGAAGGCTTTTCCGCTGCACAACAGAAGCGGGTGAAGGGAGATTCCTGTTTTGGCGAGCGGGTTTTTATTGCAGAATTTGAAAATTTTGTGAAGCTGAGCATAAGGAGGAAAAAGCGGATCTGTCCGTATTAATATCATCTTGATGCATATATCGCCACCTTCTGGCCGAAGTATTATACAAGCGCCTTGCGACAACTCTTGATCATTTCTACCGCTTTTTCATATTTTTTTATTTTTTTACAGAAAAATTGTCCAACGATCTGTCCGAAAATTTCACTGCGTTTTCTGTGTGCTGCCGATAAAATTCAGTTAAGTTTTCAAACAGATTCAACCAACAATTTCTCTGTAAAAGAATAAAATGACGCTGGAAATTTAAAAAACGTCGCATGGTGCTTGAAATACTTTGGCTGGAAAGTGACGGTATTTGGACAAAGTTTATCAGAAGGATACCAACCAATAATAAGTTGAAACTGAGGAAAAGAGGTTTGAAGTTTCATTCCTCCATAAGACTCAATGTAGAAAATCAACTTTAACCCCTCTTTTCTCAATTAATTTTTTTTAACTTTGAGTCTTTGGCAGGAGTAAATATATGACTAAAAGAACTCAAAAACATTATCAACTGAATTTTTCCGGAAATGTGGGTTGGTTCCTTTCTGATAAACTCGGTCAATTCATCCTCCGCTCCCTTGAAAAATGTTCTGTGAATTTCTGGGTCGAGCGGACCCAATAAAAAAAGTTTAAGCAAGTACAGTAACTCAATTGTATTGTATTTTCAAGAGGCGCCTTTACATATGAAGCCACCCCCACATCTGATGAGAATTAACGTAGAGGAAAACTGCATGTAATATAGCACTACGTTCAGTACTCATTAAATATATTAATTATCCTGAATAATCAAGAATTTTTCGAATGGTAAATTTCTAAAACAACGTTCTTTTCTATGCTTTATTCAGTGTCATCGTAAATGAACAAAGAAGAAATACTCGATTTTAAATGCCACTGTTCCTTCAGTTGCATGATTTGAAAAAAGAGAAGTATGATATATTCAGAGGGAGAAAAAGCTGAATATATAATAAAGCCAATAAATATCGGTGTCACCTACGAATATATTCTCGACAATTTATTTTTGAAATATTTCTCTTGGAAGCGGGAACAGCCCATTGATTCGGTACCAATATCTATTCCAACACCTACAGAATACGAATCACCGCCATTCCGCTCTTTCCTGGAACAATGATCTGTCTACCCTCGTGGAGAGGGTGCGATTACACATACCAAGCTCAGTAGCGAGAAGTGAATGATCAATTATCGATAGTTTCCCATGTGAAGATGGGGTAAATAATCGATTATGAAGGTGTTCGTTCCGAACACCCTGTTTATCGATTCCTTTCCATACGTTTAAATGGCAGATCAATCGATACATCGTAAAGCACGCCACGCTCCTGACTAAGCTTATGCTGGAGCTAGGGTTGGGTCTGTTTCTGAAGCGGCTTGACTAAGCGTTTGAATAAAGCTGCATCAGTCTTTTTTCATGAAGACATTCAAAGTTTCGTTATGCCTCTCTTTTCTTTTCATAAACAACATTTTTTTTCATCGTATTTGTCGGCATTGGGCAACAGCAGTCTACTTACATTTCATGTTGCCTAACCGCTCTTGTTTTATTTTATTGATTTATTTGTTGAACGTAGAACTAAACAACGCAGTGCCATAGAACTTAATTTTGCCCTCAAAGTTTAAAGTCAGAATGCTGTTAGATTTCTGTGAGAAAAATAAAACATTAGAGGAGATTAAGCAACTTTAGACGTAGTTGATCAAACTTGTCTAATAGCCCACTAGACAAGGTCAAAAATACAGCGTTGCAATGTATCTGTTTTTTTTTTTCTTAAAAATCACACTATCAACACAGTAGACACATTGAACATTTCCAATTTTAACTTTATGCACAAGTGAGAAATCGGCGTTTTCTGTTTGGTCGATTCAGACTTTCCGCTCCGAGAAAGCCACTTAGCTTAATGGATTTCGATCTTATAACCAACTCATTCAGCAAGATTTACCTTGAAATAATATTTGCTCGGTGTTGGGTATTTTTGACGAGTTCATAAATAATGTATTTATGCTCGCGGGTTGGGTTTAGAGCACCTCTAGTAATGGAGACGAACTTTTTGACATGCCTTAATAGCCATGGCTCTTTATTCTGTAAAAACATCATAAAGGAAAACACCGTTTTTGAATACATTTTCCTACTGTACTGATGAAGCGAATTAGATTCGAAACATATCTCAAGTTGCCATTCTGATTGGCCGTAACTATAGTTTTAAACAACGTAATTCTAAAAGGGGATCTTTATTCCAAATGAGTTTTTTCCTTCATAGTGAGTATTTTTGTTCCTGCAATAATATATAAGCACCATGACTTTATGTCAAGAAACTTGTCTGTAACAGTGTAACACAGGAAGGAAAACCGTTTTTGAATCAAAAGCTTTAATGACAGTTTGATGGTTTTCCGGTTCGACGCGAAAAAATTCTATAACCCTGAGGTGAACAGTAAATGTTAATATCTCTCTCACGTAGTGTTCGTGGATATTTTTAGCATGTTTTACATGTTATGCATAACGTTTCGATGAATAAAAAATGCTTTATGGTGCTTCCATTCTTACCACGTTATGTTATGGCCCACTCTACCTTCCGCACTCAATATCCTGTTTATTTTCCATGTGTTTTATGTGATCATATTAATAGTACCCAGTTCGTGACAAGAGCACGTAAGGGAGCGAAGCAATAGAAAGTAATGGGTCTAAAGTAGCAGTTCTCCCGTCGTAACATTTGCAAGTATTTTCAGACGCGTTTCAATGAAAAGTCGCTATGTAAATGAAATGAAAATACCTCTGTTGAATGAGTTTGATGAATTTTCATAGTTGAGGCGTAGGGTGATCCGGTAATGAATGCCCAATGAAACACGTCTGAGGACGTGGGTCACGGAAACGGGGATAGGAGGCAGGAATGGTAGAGTGTCAGGAGCGTCCTTGGATAATCATTTTGAGCTCATTTGCATTTACGGGAACGGTATACAATTGTGAAAATGCCGTAGCGAAAGCTCGATTTTTCTTTTTCATTCAAAGCTCAATTAAAGTAATAGATGGAACAGTATTTACGAATGTGCTGACAAACGGATGCGTTTCGTGATACAATTAAGTAATCAATTTTTGTGTGATCATATCCCTTTGAAAGGAACAACGCTGACGTGAATTTGGCGCCGCTTTTAATTTTTTTTTTACCAAAAATGTCCTCTAAAAATGTCATTCCATGCTGATTAAAAGGAAACGCTTTGCGTAGTTTTAAACAGTGATAAAAAATGTAAGGTAAATTCTGGGTCCCCGACGTAAATTGCCTGGTTGGTGATCGTCGTAAACTAACTAACTAACTAACCAACCAACCAACTCGTAGAGAAAAAACAGGAGGTGTTTTAACGTCAATTTTCTTGAAAATGGTGCAGTTTAGGTATATGGAATAAATTCGTTGTATTCAAAGTGTTTGAAATTATGTAATGAGTTGATATAAGAAAAAATATCGGACGTTATGGTCTGTTCATCAGCCTTCGAATTCCGGATGCAACTGTTCGTGCTCAGTTCCTGTCCATATTGCATATTGTCCCGCATTGAAAGCGCTCGCCGAGTCAACACTTGAGCGTGTTAGCCAAAGCCGTAAGCCGCACCGTTCCACGTGATCAGGAAAAACGTGTATCTCAAATTGACTGATAACCAAGAGACGAGAAAGTA